CTATTGGAACAGACTAAATAGGAACGACTTCCTGTAAGTTCTGACTACATAAATCCTGTAAACCGCACTGCCATTGGAACAGACTAATTATCAGGTAGCGGCGTTCGCGTACGCAAATACGTGCAAAGTAGGGAAAATTGAGTGCTCAAAGTGACAGTTGGAGGGGAAGTTGTTAATTCCCGCTGCAAAAATTTTTGCAAAGTCATCTGTTTGCAAATTATGAAATTAGTGAAATTTATTTTGATGATTTTTAAGTTTAAAATAACTTTAGATCTTCAAATGTTTCGGAAGAAAGCAAATACTCATTTATTTACGTGTGCTTAGCAAATTGCTTTACACCGAGGGAAATAATGCATATAAAAATGAATACTTTATATTTGATTATCGTTAAAAAATGTTCGTATTTAAAAATAATATTTTTATACATAATTTCCCTGCAAAAAATTGTGCGACTAATCTCTAAAGAGAGTATTCCGAGATTACTCTCAATCGGGTACGATTGGGCATTAATTAGTTGCACCTACTAACTAGTCTCATACGGGTACTAATGGAGGTCAATTAGTCTCGACTCATCCCTTATGGGTATAATTGGAGATCAATTAGTCTCCAACTCATCTCTAACGGGTACTATTAACGATTTAATGATATGTACGCACTTAGTCAATGAAATGTCATGTGCGGCGTTGGTACACAGAGAGAGTATTCGCCTAACAAAACTGAGCACCCCAGTTCGAATTCCAGCTGGCGCAAAATTTTATTATTATTTTTTAAAAGTGACTTGTCGCTTTTTATACCCATTCGGGTATAAAGTGAACAATTAGTCTCTTCATAGGACATGCTCGAACAAAAGCGAACAGTTCATTCCATATAAAGAGATCAAAAGTGGTATTAGTCGCATGTCCCTTGCGATTGCTCCCGGAGTCATCCCGGATTAGTCCCATTTTTTGCAGGGTACGCACCCCAAGCATGCAGAGCGCCGCTCTGAGAGCGGTGACAACACACACATGCATACATAGTACATACATGTTTATCCGTACCCTGCAAAAATTGTGCGACTAATCTCTAAAGAGAGTATTCCGAGATTGCTCTCAATCGGGTACAATTGGGCATTAATTAGTCGCAACTAGTCTCATACGGGTACTAATGGAGATCAATTGGTCTCGACTCATCCCTTATGGGTATAATTGGAGATCAATTAGTCCCCAACTCATCTCTAACGGGTACTATTAACGATTTAATGATATGTACGCACTTAGTCGATGAAAATTCATGCGCGGCATTGGCTCGCAGAGAGAGTATTCGACTAACAAAACTGAGCACCCCGGTTCGAATCTCAGCTGGCGCAAATTTTTATTTTTATTTTTTAAAAATGACTAGTCGCTTTTTATACCCGTTCGGGTATAAAGGTAAACAATTAGTCTCTTCATAGGACATGCTCGAACAAAAGCGAACAGTTCATTCCATATAAAGAGATCAAAAGTGGTATTAGTCGCATGCTCCTTTGCGATTGCTCCCGGAGTCATCCCGGATTAGTCCCATTTTTTGCAGGGTACAAATAGCGTGCTGTGGTGTTGATGGATATTCAACATTTGAAAGCAAATTTATATGTCTGGGTGTAGCTGAGTGCGCAAAGATGCTTGCCACAAGTTGTTGATATCCGGAGATTGTCGAGTTCAAATTCCACTGCAGGCAACATTCAAATTAATTTTTTTTTTAGTTTTGTCTTGATTATTCACTTCACGGATGCTTTTTCAGTACGAAAGTGAGCATTTTAATATGCGCGTAATTGAATTGAATATTTACCAATATACAGTACTTTCGTTGACGTTTATAGTAAGATCAATTACGTTTCTATTTGATTTTAATACTTTTTTCCCTCAGTGTA